AATAAATAGTGGATGGTCTGCCACAGGCCATTTTGATGAGCAAGGCCAGATTCAGACTTTAAAACATTTCTCTGGAAATTGTGCCTGTATTCTTTGAAGCAAAACAACGGCACTGACTATAGAGCTGAGAATACACAGCTGGATTTACAACTCCATGTCAATCCCCAATCCCTCTCGCACCCCTCTAATAATACATTGTTGAATCTTAGCAACTAAACACCAATTTCAGCATCTTTTGTCATACAGGGAGAAGAAGAATGAGAATAGATGCATTAAACTGTAACCTGTCTCTTTGGGGTTGACACCCCAAATTTCACACACACACCAAGACAAAGAAAAGGTGAAAAGTTCAGCCTTGCCACTTCATCTAACTCGCTGCAACATCAGCTATGCTTTCTGCAGACCCCGGAAGCCATTTTCCTTTTAGACGGAAAGGGGGGTGAATGTTTGCTTACACCCAGGCACTCCAACCTTGTCTCATCCATCATACTTGTCCAGATGTGGGATTCAAATTTTTAACAACTGGTTCTGTGGGTGTGGCTTAGGTGGTGGGCATGGCTTGGTGGTCATGTGACTGGGTGGACATATCTTGGTGGTCATGTTATTGGTTGTGCGTGGCCAACTCAATATCGCTCACATCAAGGCACGCTTCCCCTCACCTGGCCTCTGGTGACTGTGGGGTAATGTTGAGGTAATTCCACATTAGGAGAATGAGCGCATACAGGGAGACGTATTTGAGGGAAGTGTTTGAATAATACACACACAGCACACAGATACACTGTACAGTAAATGTAGGTTTTTACTTCCAGAAACTTTCAAGCAAAGTTCAAGATAAGCAGTCCAAAGTAATTCACAGGTAAGGCAGTCAGTGTTCAATTCAGGGATAATCCAATAACAAAGTCCAGTGTCAAAAACAGTTCAGTAACAGACTTACATCAAATCCATGAATAACAGTCCATTAGGAGAAACGGCAGAACTCTCCAACAGAAAGAAAACAGAGACTCACTCACTTCTTCTGAGACTAAGACTAAGACTAAACAACCCAGGTTTCTGCCTCCATCTTATGGCCATTTGAGAAACCACACCCAATTTCAGTTTAGCATTCTCTTAAAGATACAGTTTTAAAATGTCTATCCTGGTTTATATATTTCCAACCCAAATACCTGTTAGGTGACTTACATTCCTAACAGTGGGGATGCTGCAACAGTCATAAGTGTGAAAAATGGTCATAAGTCACTTTTTTCAATGCCACTGTAACTTTGAATGATCACTCCACACAAGCAAAGTACCAGCAAAGGAGGGGGAAAAATTCCAGAGACGTTCCTGAGACAGGAAGTCTAGTCCTGCCAAGAATGAAATAAGGGTTAACGGAGAGGCAGTTTCCGTAAGCAACACCAGAATGTTTCCTTCCTGCTTTCCTTACAAGATTAGGCCAGTAATTTTTTCTAACAACCAGTTCTCCGAACTGCTTAGAATGTTAACAACCAGTTCTTGCGAACTGATAGAATCCCACCCCTGTACTCGTCCCTCACATCAACCCTACAAAAAGCCAAGCTTTTGACAGATATGAAAAGGGGGAGGAGATGTTAAGGAAAAAGTAGCGATAGACCACTCTTTCAAATTATTTGAGAATATGCCTAGCAAAAATCCATACTCAATATATGTTTACAATCCTGATGTGCAAAGTGAATATAGATTGTCTGTTTCTCTCATAATATTAGAAACCGAGCTTAACCTATGAAGAGATTGATAGCAAATTCAGGACCAAGTAGAAATACTTTATTTCACATGGTAACAGCATGGAACTCTGTATTTACATCTGCTGATCCCATCTATTCTTCTCAACTGCTATCTCTACATCAGCAGCTAAGATTTTACCATGCATTGCCAATTTTCCTTCTAGCCATGCTTTGCAAGTATAAACTTTTGACATTTGAAATAATCAGAAAAATGAATTGTCTTTCTATACAATTCTGTACCTCAAAACACTCTCAGAGCATATAACACCTTAAGGAAGGCCACCAAGAAGGATTTCTTGTGCACAAAATTTCAGATTTGTTACTATTTAACCCTTCATTATATTTGGTTCGTTTAGTTTAGTTTATTATCATTGCACCTCGTACAATGAAATTAAGTGTCATATTCAGTGATATTGTAACTATAAAAATAAAACACAAACACACATCCTTCACATTCCATATAATTGAATTGAAAAACCGATATTGCATTAATATTGCACTATTATACAGTAGAATTCAATATAGTTACTGTCCTGGGATAGAAGCTGTTTTTCAGCCTATTTGTCTTTGTTTTTATCATCCTGTACCGTCTGCCAGGTGGTAATAGTTCAAAAAAAGGGTTCCCAGGATGAGGTGGATCTTTGAGAATGTTTTGAACTTTCTTAAAGTTCTTTGTTTATAATACAGGAAGTCCTCTACTTACAACCACAATGGAGTCCAACATTTCTGTTGTTCAGTAAGGAATTTGTTTTGCCCTGTTTTATGACCTTTCTTGTCACCATTGTTAAGTGAACCATTGTGGTTGATTAGTTAGTAACACAGAGTGAGTGAAGTGAATCTGTCTTCCCCTTTGATTTCGCTCATCAGAAGGTCGCAAAAGATGATTACATGTCCTTGGGACACTTGTTCCTAAATTTATGACACTTGGTCATAAATGTGAATCAGTTGCCAAGCATCTGAATTTTGATCACATATTCACGGGGATTCTGCAAAGGTCATAACTGCGAAAAACACTCCATGTCATTTTTTCCCCAGTAACCTTGAAAGGTTACTAAACAAACTGTTGTAAGTTGAGAACTGTATCTAGTATAAGTTTTAAAATATTTTATTATTATAAATTGGGAATTTTTCTCTTATTTTTCATTGCAGGGGATATCCTGCAAACTGACTTAGTTTTTTTTAAAAAAGGAAATCCCTAAATAAAACAATTTAAAAACTAAGAAGAAGCAACAGGTGATTAATAGTTTTAAGAATAAGCAGAATTTCAGTTTAAATCAGCTCCTTAACCTTGGCGTCATGCCCCTGTCAGAATCTGATTTGGAGGGAGAGGCTAAGCAGCTGACAGGAAGTGGGAATGTGACTCCATTGGCTGTGGAAGAAACTGGGGAAGGGCAAAGGCCAGCTGGGCAGAGCAGGGGAGAGGTAGAGCAAAGGAGAGGGAATTTGGAGGAGGACCCACGCCCACCCCCTCTTCATCCTAGGGCACACGGGGAGGAATGGAGAAGGGAGCAACGTGAGTTGTGTGGCTTATGGGGAAGAAAGGGCCCTGATTTCCTTCATTAGCTGCAGCTGAGAACACAGTGTTTAAAAAGGGAAGCTGCGCACAGCAAAGTTGTTGGGAGCAAATCGTGAATTATCATCGAGGCTTATCTGGGTTCCTGGTGTCTTCTCAACTGTGGGTGTTTTCCTGGGCTTTCAAGTCTGCAATTCCTTCTCCTGCCCTGTCAAGTTAATTACTGCAGCATGGTTTGTGTGGATTTTTATTTAAAGTTTGTATGTACTTAGTTTGCGGACTGAATTTCCTCCACTTAAAGACTGTTCTTGGGAGAGTTTTTTCTCCAGATGAAGGTAACCTGGACATTGGGGGCAAAGTTGGAGGTATTAAAGGGACACTTCTTGCTTATTTGACTGTGTTGCTTTTGTGTCATGCCCTGGGGTCATCACACTTGGTGTTTTGGAAGTATTGAGACTGGAACTTTCAAAATCGCCAATCAGTGTAGACAGATCCAACACATAGATCGCTAGGAAAATAGACAGAATTCTCAAGGAATTTCATACGTCCGGAGCTGCCAAAATGATTTTTTTAACACTTCTGAAAATCATAGGGTTTGCAGAAGCCATTGTCTAGGGGCTGAAGAATTTTTTAAAGGCTGGAACAAGATAACATTTGGAAATGGATTAGGCAAAGGGTTCCCCAATTCATTAGCTATAAGAAAAGGAAGTTGTACAGCAGAATCAGATCTGGCAGATCCTATTACTACAGCCAGACTCAATGAAAGCAGTTTTTGGTCTTCCTGTAGAGTTGGTTTCCTGCTCTGGTTTTGGGGTTGATAGATGTAGAAGTAACTCAGTGATGGGTGAGATTTTATGGCAAGAGCTATCCCTATAGAAATTCCTGTTTTAGTCATATACGGTACATCCATTGAATCGGCCTTGTGCTCCATTGATTTGGGAACAACAATTCGGGTGAAAGCTGGTTAAGAAAAAAATGATACTCAGAGGACGATAAGTAACAGGATTCAAAAGGTTAAAGAGGCAGAAGGAATTGGAAATAGAACCAAGCAGAGTCAAGGGCAGGTTAAAGGATAGTGAAAATCAGTCTGAAATTGCATCCTCGCCAGTGGTGGGATTCAAACATTTTTACCACCGGTTCTGTGGGCGTGGCTTGGTGGGCATGGCATGGCTTGATGGGTGTGGCTTGGTGGGCATGGCAGGGGAAGGACACTGCAAAATCTCCATTCCCTCCCCACTCCTGAGGGAAGGTTACTATCGCTTCTCCAAACTACTCAAAATTTCCACTCCCAGTTCTCTAGAACAGGTCAGAACCTGCTGAATACCACCTCTGATCCTCACTGATAAAGTAAATGACATCGTCCATGATGAAATAAAATATCCCAGTAACAATTTTCAGCAAACGGGAGAAGAAAAAGTGTTTGAGCACCCGTAGACTTTTCTCTTTAGTCCCCCTGGCTGAAAAGTCCTGCTCCCTTCTCTCCTTCAAGATTATCAGCAGCAGAGAGCAATTTCTCTTCCCAAGACACAGTTCCTCACCAAGACACGGCTATTTCCCCTCCCCCTTTTAATTCAGTCACTCAAACTGACAGCTACACTATGTACAAGAACTGGGCTACATGACTGCTGTGCCATATTTTCACTGTAAATCTCCTGATGTGTCAAGAGCTCCCTTTCACTCCCCAATCCCTTGATAAATATTCATTTTATATAAGTATGTTTCATCTCTCTCTCCCTCTTTTTCTTTAGCTCTCCTTAATTCTCATCACCGGATTTGGAGTTGTGGGTGGTCTTTATATCCTTGCAAGGAAGACCTTCTTTGTTCCTGAAGTGAGGTATGTTTCTGGACAGCCATTATGTTTAGATTGGGACAAGAGTCTCTGCAATATTTATAAGGGATCCATTATTTGATCTAACCTAGCATTGCAGAATCCTCATGATCTGCTTTGCCATTCTTCTTCATACAGTTAATAGAATAGAATAAGAATAAAACAGAACAGAATAGAACAGAATAGAATAGAATAACAGAGTTGGAAGGGACCTTGGAGGTCTTCTAGTCCAACCCCCTGCTTAGGCAGGAAAACCCTACACCACTTCAGACAAATGGTTATCCAACATCTTTTTAAAAGCTTCCAGTGTTGGAGCATTCACAGCTTCTGGAGGCAAGTTGTTCCACTGATCAATTGTTCTCTCAGGAAATTTCTCCTTAGCTCTAAGTTGCTTCTCTCCTTGATTAGTTTCTACCCATTGCTTCTTGTCCTGCCCTCTGGTACTTTGGAGAATAACTTGACTCCCTCTTCTTTGTGGCATCCCTTGAGATATTGGAACATTGAAAGTTTGAAGACAAACCAAATCCTGCCAGCATTAGTACAAGAGTACCAGCAGAATCAGCAAAGCTGATCAATTTGAATGTTAGGGACTATGTAAATGACCTGGGAAGGGTATTGCTGTCAAGACCTGTTCTCAGGCCAACCTGGCAGGTCTGATTTGACTGATGGGCCAAATGCTTCCCATCTCAGGCCCAGATTATCCTAGGATTTATGCTAGCCTGGATAGGAGAAAGAGTGAAGAAGGAAGAACTGGCTGCTGTTGTTTATAGGGATAGAACGTGAACATCCACTTGTTTATCAAAGATCACCCATCTCTCTCACAGAGTGACTTATCCTTGCTCATGTTTCCAAGAATCAGAGATCAGTGTAAAACCATAGTGCATATGGGTATTTTCAGATTTAGGGTTAGAACACCTTCTTACTTCAAAATGTTAATGGAAACTCTTCTGCTCATACTAGTGAATGAATCATAAACTCCTTGTCTGACAAAGCCATAGATTTAGTACATTTTGGATAGAATATGTTTTTGAGATTTGAATTTTATTCTTTGTAGCACTGTATATGTATTACCAGAGGAAGGAAATCTGAATTTAAGATGACACTGGCCCCAACCACCAGATATGCAGTGCCCATATGAACAAAAAAAACCCCATGCAATATCTTTACAATATCAATCTAGGACTGCCAGTTAAAGTTGAAACTATTCATGGTGATATTTCCCTTCCCAATAATAGTATCCATGTGCCACAGTTGTTCCCCAAATAATACTGAGATGGTTAAGCACTAAGGTTAATGGGAAAAAAAAACAACTAACATTTTTCAGGAAAAAATATGAATTTTGATGAAATATCTTACTGTCATTCCCGGTAATCATAAGATGATTGGTACTTTCATAAATATAAACAAAGGAAGAAAGAAGCCAATATTGTTTTGAAAATTGCTGCTGAATCAGGGAAAAACTCTAAAAATGCAACATAAAAATTGTTGATTATATCTATAGCATAGGTGGAAGCATTAAATATAAAATACAACAACAATATTGGAATAAATCTGTAAGTTTATAAGTGATTCAATTGTTTTGTCAAGGAAGCTTCGAACAGTCCTTAAACTCTACCAGGATTACTTTGATATGTACTTTTCTCTGTACTATCTCCTTAGCAAAAGAAGACATGCTCCTTAATTTTAAAAGCCATTCCATACACGCTCAAGGGTATTTTTGTCTCATTTTTAATTGGAATAAAATCTCAATGCTTTTACATTTTCACATCTTGGCTCAGGAGAGATGATGCCAAATGACTATGTTTTCATTCTTGACTATCTGTTCCCATAAGAGCATGTGTGGAATGCCTGAGCAATATTTTTCCAAGAAATGGGGAAAAACCTTTAGTGATTATCTACAAACTCCTGTATGTCAACACCTCCTCCAAAATGTAGAAGTTCCAGCCATGTGTGTATTTTTGTCCAATATCTTTTAGCTTCTGTACATGTCTACCACATATACGGTAGTAAAACAACACATAGACTTAAAGCCTGAGATATTTTTATTGGGGATTTTACCTGAAAATTATAGTAAAGAAAAAACAGATTTAATTATACATATATTAACAGCAGCTAAGAATTGTATTTGTTTCAAAATTGGAAAAATGAAAAGTTTCTGATAGAGGAAGAGGTGATCATGAAAATATTGGAATGTGCAGAAATGAATATATTAACATTGGCAATTAAAGAACAAGAAGAAGTAGAATATTATATGATATGGGATTTATTTTATAAATGGTTGAAAAATAAAATAAGAAGTTAAATGAATATTGTTATAATGATAAGATATATAAGGTTGAACAATTTTTAACATGAATGTAATCATAATAAGAAAACGTATATTAAATATAAATATTTACACATGATATATGTACCCAGTCAACACACTATATAACTGAAAGATGGATTTGTTGTAAAATAAAATAAAAAACATTTTTTAAAAAATGTAGAAATTCCATGAAAACATGGAAGAAGAAAGAAAAGGAAAAAGGTAGATGACTACTGAACTCTTGGTCACCGATACCTGCCTGATAAGGTATCGTGCTATGGGCCTCTGGCAAGTGTACTGTGAGTCACCCTTTGAAGATGTCTAATGCTTTTATAATAATATCTGTTTACTTGCTAAAGTGATCGTTGATTCAATTTGGCAGCAGATGCCCAAGGCTCTTAGCACAAAAATTATCAATGGCAGATTTCCTTTGTCTTTGATTGAATTGCTGATAAAAGTGGAATAGACACATCTTCATCAACCTCTCAAGAGATATAGGCACAATTAGCTCCAGGCTTTGGAGGAAGAGGTTGTTCTCCTAGAATTTTTCCATCCAAGTGAAGATCCTTAAGAATATTCAAGTTCTTCTCTCTTTTCCCAGGAGTATTCACAGTCAGCCCCAGAACATCAGAAATTAAGGGAAAGGTTATTCCCTCTGAGTCTGTTACTTCAGTCTCCTGGGTTGGGGGTGCATAACTTTTCTTTGGTCAAGGGAGCATTTGAACAAGCACAGAGCTACAAATTAAATGGATTAAAAATTGCTGTAATTGTCTAAAATTAATTATAAAACCATTCAGTCTTTAGGGCCTGCACAAAGTTAGGACGTGCAACTCTTGAATTCCATGTCTGAACTTGATGAAGTGTGGGATCAAAAGTACCACCTCCCAAACAAACAAACTCTTATTCTCTTAGTTTCCCATACACACAAACGCACACAAATCTCATCTACGAAAGAAGTGATGGGACAAGGGAGAGCCGAGAGATGATGTGGAGTGCAACAGACCGGGAAACGTGACTTCCTAGTGGGCCAGATGTGATCTTGGACTGCAGACTCTGTGCCTGTTTTTGAAATCTGTCTCAAAGTGACCAACGAAGCCCAGCAGTACTAGCAAACTTAGGGTACCCACAGCCCCCAGATGAGATCCATCTATGAGTCTCAGCAAATTCACAGTCTGGCAACAGCTATTGCTGGTCAGGGTTGTGGAGTAAAATCCAGAGTTAGAGTGGAATAAGTACATCCCAAATCTCTTTTTCTGCCTAGGCAACAACAAATCTCTTCTTTTATCTGAATCGGATTCCCAAATGGAAAGTTTGCTTCCTGTCAGGGGCCAAAGTGTTAGAAGAGCAGCAAAGAGTGCATGTGTGTGTGAGAAGGAGTTTCTCGTGGGAACTTTCCCCGGCCTTGACTCCAGGGTTGTTTTTCTGGCTCAACTTCGCCCTATCCTGTTCCTTGCCCGATCACAGATTGTTTCCCTACAGACACCTCGAAGGAAAAGAAAAGAATTAAAGAAAACAAAACCAAACAAAAGCAAGAGTATAGAAATACTTGATGTTCCAACAGCAAAAAGCAAGAGGTTTGGTAGATACTTTTCTCCAGCCATCCTGCTCCTTGAAAACCAAGCTTCAAAACGAGAACACCCCAGGTGTCAGCTACCAAACCCTTCCCTTTACAGTCCAATGGCCTTCTGCATTTCAATCTGCACCACCATGGCTCTCTTTCCCATTAACATACCTAAAATACGGTGTTACAATATTTTATTAGCAATACTAATAAAATACTAACTAATGCCATAATAAAATACAATTTTATTATAGCTTTACATCAGGATGACACAAACTAGAATTGCTTCCCCCTATAGAGCTTGTGAACTTAATTCCACTCCCCACTGGTTTTACTAAAGGATGGAATCAAAGAAGAAAAATTTGCCACAGGCTGCCAAATAAATAAATACAGAGGGAGCTGATTTTCAGCAATAATACAACTGCACACCTAAGATTAACCAGAACATTTTAAAGTTGTGCTAAACACTCCAACTTTTTATTTGTTTTATTTAGCGAGAATCTGAACTGGATGATGACCTTTCCCTTCCTTTACAGGTGCAGCCACACACTTGTGCCATGCATGCTTGCTATAAGCACAAAACTACACAAGTCTTTTCAAAACTCTTTCCCCCTGCAATTACATTGTTGTCTGTGGGTGCAATGACACTTGATTGCCTTATAAACCCAGCAGATATAATAGCGCTGTCTTCATTATCATATGACCTAGTGTGTGAGTGTGGAAAAAAAAGCTAAACTCTTTCAGACAATATTTAACAGAATAATAACAAAATGTCAGAATAACAAAGTTGGGAGGAACATTGGAAGTCTTCTAATACAACCCCCTCCTCAACCAGGAACCCTATAAGATTCCAGACTAATGGCTCTCCTAACTCTTCTTAAAAACTGTTGAGGTGATTCCCCGTTAGGAGAATGAGCGCATACAGGGAGACGTATTTAAGAGTAGTGTTTGAATAATACACATACAACACACAGATACACTGTACAGTAAATGTAGGTTTTTACTTCCAGAAATGTTAAGCCAAGTCCAAACAAGCAATCCAAAATCATTCACAGGTAAATCAGTCAGTTTTTCAATTGAGGGATAATTCAGTAACAAATTCCAGTGTCAAAAACAGTTCAGTATCAGACTTACATT